AGAGAGTACACACACTCTCGGGTGTGAGATAACGAATAGAGAAGAGTGTCCTCTAGGAGTGTCTCGCAAACAACAAACACGAGTCTGAAGTCCTGATTGAAGGACTTGTCGACCAACACTTGTTAGCAGATTATGTGATGAAATATCAAGTGTTTAAAAAAATTTTATTGCTGGAAAAGTTCAGATCAATTAACGCTTTCAATTGGTTAACCTATTTAGCTATCGATACACAAAAAAGTGATATGACTTGAAGTAAAGTGTGGTCTGAATCTGATTATTCTGATGATTATTCTCGCCGTACAGACGTATAACATATCAAATATATGAATGAACAAATTTACCCACAAATTTATCATTATATATCAAAACACCTTATTTTCCAGAGTATTCTGTTTTATATTAATTCTCGGATTTGTATATATTTTTAGTCAAAGTCAGCAAAAAATATAATGTACTAGTACAGTACAAAGATCCTTCCGTTCAAATAAACATATTCTTTATAATTTCGTATATTTGAATGTCGTTTCCATTATTTGACTAATTTTAAAAATATTTTTTGCATTTACTGTAAATGTACAGTAAATGCAAAAAATATTTATAATATTTTAGGTTTAGTGGAAAGTTTTTCTGAATTTCTGAATTGGGGGCCAATTTATTAAAATGTATATTAGAATTGGTTTTGAGCCAAATATATGTGATGTTAATATTAAATCAATTTTCAAGTCATCCGCAAAAGTCATGTCTAAATATCACGCGAAGATATATTATGTCATTCGATAGGAATCTTTGCATTCTTTCGCAATTTAAATGAGAAATTAAAAACAGTTTTGTTTTGAAAATATACTGATTTGCAAATGACGTCAAACCCAATGGGGTTCCCGAAGTGCGGACAGGAAATCAATTATTGAATTTAAAAATATTTTTTGTAATTTTAATGAATAGTTACATAAGAAATGTTGTTTAAAATCATAATTTATTTCTTATTTGCTTGTTGGCAACAAATAATAAAATACTAGCTTAATAAAATTGTCCATTCAAATATACTTTATATTAATATAATGTGATCACTTTTATATTTATTAAAACAGTAAATTTTACCATTTACAAATTGTTAATATAAAAGTATTATCACTAAAATACCAATAATGATCTATAATATATTTATAAATTTTAAAATTTAATTTTAATAAACTATAATACTAGAAATTGAACAAGGAACCATAAGAAAAGTTTAAATATAGTTAATGTAGAATTTGTGTTTAGTCTAAAGTAGACATTTTAAAATGCATTTTACAAATTGAAATAATGTAAATATAGTGTAAAATTAACGGTCTTTTCAAAGACTTTAGAGCATTGATAATAAGTGAATGAATGAAAACATTTATTAACAAAATATGTTGTCTTATCTGTCAATATCATAGCATTTTGTTTATTCATTCTGAGATACTTTTACTGTCATTTCCAAACTGAGAAACAGTGTAAATGTTTGCATGTTTTATATACTTATTTATTAAAGTTAAGTTATTCATTTAATTTAAGTTATTAAAACAAATTAATTATATCAAAAATATTCTAAAATGTTTCATTTTAAGTTTTTAATTAAAAAAATTAAAATATAAATCATAAAATTAATAAATGGTCAAATTTTGTTTGTAAAATGGTTTTTTGTTATATTTGTGATAAGAAGAATCGGTACGAATTGGTTTCCGAGCGGTTGAATACACTAAAAGATTGACATTTCTTATCAAATATAGTGTTGATTATATTGAAGTCAAGAGCATTTACTCGAAACATGTGTTGATTATATATTTTGTGTTACAAAATGCAATCATAAATTATATTTTTGCCAAAATAAGCAAAAAACTAGCGATCGTTCAGACATTTGACTTTAATTTCTAATTCACAGACTGTTTGACGCTTTCTCTTAGTTTTACTTTCGATGACATCATATGAAAGCAAAAATAATAAAAACCTGTAATTATATGTAATGTATAATAATTATACTTAATATCTAACACAACATAAATTACAATTAGAGAGTGACTTATTAGGAAATACAGTATCAGTGATCAGAGCAACAAAAAATATTATATAAACTTTAGAGAACCACTTAATGTTTGCATAGGATTGAGGAAAACAACTTTGTAATTGATACAGGATTTACATTTTGTAAACTAATTGTGCTTTTGAATGTATCTTGTTTATCATTGTTTGATTTATGAATCATAAAATAACTTTAAATGTTTTTAATAAATAAAATTCCCAGTTTTTGATAACAAAATGTCTTCAAAATATAAGTTTCTAATTAACATTAATAATTTGTTTGCTTATAAATTATGACTTCCTCTCCACGAGCCTTGAAATCATGATATATTTATTTACCAATACTTTAAATACCTATTTATCTTAAACTATATTTAAAAGTTATTTATTTATAGAAGATTTTCAATTTTAGTTATAGATTGTGTTTAAGTTTTATTTTATATTAAACTTTCCATTACTTTACAAAACGTTCAAAACCTTGAAATGTTTGTATTATATCTGTTTTTTACTTCAAATCAATTCAATATAAATTTAATTTATATTCCTGTCGATAATTACAATGCATTTTGAGTTTAAATATACACTTAGAATTCAATAATTGTTTAATTATATGTTCCTAATAAAGAACTCAGGAATATATCGAAGGATATTATTTATTCCATCTATATCTCAAAAGTAAAGTACTTTATAAATTCTAAGTTTTTTTTAAATATTACATTGGATTGTAAAAATATTAAAATAACATCAAAATTAAATGTAAAGTATTCAATTTAAAATATCAATCAAATAAGTGAATCCGTTATTTGATCTTGGTTAAATTTGAATAATAAGAATTAAGTGGTGGATTTAAAAAGTGCCAAAGCGAATTTAATCATCATTGTCTTAAGATGTCCACCATTTATCAACCAATAGACATAAAAATTATATAATTACATAAAATTAGGCACAAATAAATACTCATTTATCCCACAAAATTTCTTTTAAATCCAATAATTATTTTTTATAAAAAAAGTTACCTTGAATAAATTTCCCAAATTTTGGAAAGCATATGGTGTGAAAATTCATTGCAATGCCCACCAAATCAAATAATCAAAATACATATTTTAAATTTATAAAATTATAAAATTTATATAAATTACAAATTAGTTAGTAATTGAGAATTTAAATAAATATTTGACGACTTATTGGCTAATGTTAACTTGAATTAGTCAATAAATTTCTTTTATAATTTATTATTATTTTACAGTATAATAAATACATATTTTGTGAATCAATTGCTATAAAAATGAGATTAATTTTCCCCATCAGGTCTCCCATTGATGCCCAACCCTATTGACGATTTAGACCTTTTTCATTAATGTTATCATCGGCTGTCCATTTGTAATGTATTGATCTATTATGATCTTTCTTAACCCTTTCAATAATTACAATACATTTGCAGCACAAACATAAGTTTATTAGAAAATTTAGTTCAACATATGTTATAAACTATAAATTGTAGAAATTATAAAATAAAATTTTCTTTATTTATAAATGCTGTAAAATATGTGTTATCATAGATTGGATTATTTGGTTTCATCCAAGAATTCATGGATGTATTTGTTAACGATATCTGGTTTATCAAAAGGTGTCCAATGAGAGCAATTGTCTATCATTTTGATGGTATAGTTGTCGCATGATTTGCAACTGTCGGCCGCGAGTCCTTCGGTGAGTGCGATGTCATCCCTTCCCCACAACACAAGTGTTGGAGAAGTAATCCTTTTATTCTTAATTTTGTCCAAATAGTCGGCGCCATAACAACGCTGTAGAGCGCGATAGTAGTTAATGGGAGCCGTGAGAGCACCCGGTCTACAGAAATAGTATTTATACGCCTCGACGTCCTCTTTAGTGCCCAGCTTTTTGAATATATAGTCAAACACTTGTAAGTCATTGCATCGGAATCGCAACTCAGGCAGGAATGGCAGGTTGAAAAAGTAGATATACCTTCATATAAAACAATTAATACGTCAATATAATCATCATCACTAATACTAATGAATAATTATAGCTGAATAGATAAACAAATACCATGATGCAAAAAATTGTTTCCAATTAGACTCGATTGCGTTCATAAAATGTTTGATTTGCGGTGCATTGCATACAATAAACTTGTCGACGAGTTCGGGATATTGAGCGGCTGTCGTCCAGCCGACGAGTCCGCCCCAATCGTGCGACACAAGAATGCACTTCTCTTTGCCCAACGCGTGCACCACATCTCTCACGTCGTCCACCAGTTTGTCGACCGCATAGTTTGCCACACCTTTTAGGTTTCATTCATCATAATTTAAGCATTTATTATCTTAACCATACATTTATACTAATGATAATACCCTCGGGTTTGTCAGAATCTCCATAACCCCTCAAACTGAGTGCAACCGTATAATAATTTTTAGAAAATTCTGGCAATTGTTTTCTCCATGAATACCAAACTTCAGGAAATCCGTGAAGGAATAGCATTAACGGCTTCTGTGGGTCACCCTTACAAACGTAATGCAGTTTTACATTCTGTAAATATAAACGTTAATATTAAATGTGGTCAACACTTAACTTACAATATACTAATCAAATCATACCTTTGTCTGAACGAAGCGGTGTTCGCCTAACGCACTGTCGAGAAGACACGCCGGAGGAGTCGGTCGTGGCTTTATTGTGAAGAATGTCTTCCTCTTGAGTATTATCTGCATAA